GGCTTTCCATTTTTGAACTTTCTTCAACTTTTTCTGGGGGCCTCCTAAGCTCTTAGTGTCCATTCTACCAGGCTCTGGGCGCTAAGCTGCGAGGTACTTCCTGCATCACATGTCGTCTGCATCCCCAGCTGCTAAGCCCGCTGGGCGCACTGCATTTGCAGAAAGCATTCGTGCCCCCGAGGAGCTGAAAAACGGCCTCATATGGCTGTTTGATACTGATACGAACCAGCTCGCGGCTTTCCTCAGGTCCGGACCCATGGCGGGTCGGACAAAATTATTATACGCATGCGCCAAAGCGGTGCATGAGCCGCCAAACCGTCCTCCAGGCGATGATACATCCACTTCAGTGCCTGCATCAGCGGAGGGCTCTCCTGAACCGGTTACATCAACGGAGGCAACGGCGGCTTCTGTTTCATCGGTGGCAGCCGACACTCCTGCTGATGCTGCGGCTCCCGTTGCATCTTCTGCAGCGAAGGACCCTCAACCTGGCGGGGCTGGTGCATCGACTTCCACGAACGCCGACAAGCCTGGTGATGCTCCGGCTCCTGTTGCATCCTCCCCGGCGGAGGACCCTCGGTCTGGTGGGGCCGGCACTTCCACTACGACTACAGACCCACTGCATCCAGCAGGAGCTTCTGGTGGTGCTGACACTGCATCGGCCCAGACGGGCCCGACAGCTCAAGAGGGTGCATCTACAGCTCCTTCTCGCTTTGATCATGTCGCTCCGCCTACATTCCTGGATGCATCGGAGATCCCGCGGAAAGCTAAGGTGAGCACCCGTCAGGTGCTTTGCTGTCGTGAGACATGTTCCGTTTGCTTTCAGGCCTGCTGCGGTTATAGCAGCGAACTGGTTCGGGACTCCCACTTCGAGGCTACATCTGTACATCACAGATGTAAAGCCTGTTATCGTGCATCCAAGACCAACAAGCCAGCAGATGCATCTTCCTCAACTTCGACGACGTATCATGCATCACAAGATGCTGGTGGCTCCTGGCATAATGCATCACAGGATGCTGGTGGCTCCTGGCAGCCGTCATCGGGTTGAAATTCCAACCAGGGCAGCTGGGAGTGGGACTCCTGGAACGGGCAATGGTCGTGGTATTAGCCGCTTCCATTGCATCTTCAAGGCGGACAACACTGCATCTTTTGAGCTTTCTGCTCCGTTTGCGGTGATGTAGGTCTGCCTTGTACATTGCTTTGATCGCACAGGCCTTTCGGCCTCCCTTGCAACTCTCGCAAAAAGAGATCAGCCGAGCCGTTGTCCATTTTTTGGGCCTGTTCGCTGTTTCTTCTGCCGATGTGGCTTGCAGCATTGCATCACTCTCGCTGTCACGGCAGCTTTGCTCTTGGAGCTCAAACCTTTGGGTCGGGTGGGCCGGGCACCTCGTGCTCTCCTGCTCTCCCCACGTACGGACCTTGGCTGTCTCGCCTGTGGTGCGAGTGGCCTGCTGGCATCACACGCCCTTTCTTGTCTTCAGGTCAGGCTGGTGCGGCACGTGATTGCCTACATCAGCCCCGGTCTCGGCCTCTGCCTGTGGTGCAGAGGTTTTTTCCTTTAGACTCGACCCACAATCGGACCTTAGGTTGACCATCTTCATCGCCGCGGCTTTCATTCAGGCTGTGACCGTTTGTGACTTAGGGGGCTTTCTGTTAGTGGGTTGCTGCATTCTGTTCAATGCCCTGCCCGCTCAGGTTCCCCTCTGCTTCATGAACGACGACACGAGCGACGAAGACACTCGCCACGCAGAGCTTTCGGCGTGCCGCTGGCCGATTCCATCTTTATCAGATGAGGCCTCGCCGCCCTCCGCATCCAGGCTCGCCGCTGACGCGCCTGCTGCATTAGACCAGCCGGGTCGCATCATTGAAATCGGGGTACGTGTACATGATCAGTCCTTGTGCTTCTTCGACATTACATCAGGGCGGTCCCTCCAGGAACTCCTGGAGGCCTGCGAAGACCCGGGGTGCTCCAACGACACTACTTGCTTCCGGGTCTCGCACATAACTGTACATATTACGCCAGTTGCATTAGGCTGTGCACTGCGACCCCCCGATTTCATCACCCCCGTCGTCTGATGACGAAATGTGATGCACTGCATCACTGCCGGATGCTCAGACTTGCTCTCGGCTATAAAAATTTCTGTGTCCTTTCGCATGTGTCTCTGCTGTTCGGCTGACGCCTTATTTTTTCTTGGTTTGCTGCCTCTTGATGCTTTGCACCCTTCCTGCCTGATGCACCTTTTTTGCCATCGAGCTGGGGTGGGGTGGCTCTCGCCTGATTTCATCCTCACGCTGGTCGGGCTCCCAGTTCTTACCCACCCTCTGCCTGTGGTGCGGTCGGTTGGGCTCGGCTCACATGTGGTCCATCGCTTGGGCTTTCAGGTCTGCGCGGACACGTGCATCTCAGGCGGTCTGGCTTACTTGCACCACCCTGCTTCTGATGCCCTGGTACAGGTACATCATCGAGATTCCCGAGGTCCCGCAGGCTCACATTCGTTCATGTGCTCGTTGCCTGTGGTGCAGCGTTGCACTTTTTTCTTCCATTCAGGCTCCTCGCTCTACGAGGCAGGGATGGGCCTGTGGTGCCGCATTTCTCTGCTCTCGGTTGCGCAGCTTTGCTTAGTGCGATTCGCCTTGGCTTAGGTCCTCAGTGCATTTCTTCGTCGGGGACCCCTACATCGTTATGGCCTCTTCGAACGATCCTCCGCGGGGCCGACCCAGGTCGAGGTCAGTCAGACGCCTTGT